GGCGAAAGACCAACAGAGCACGTTAAAGAATATCAGGGTCGGGATCAGGGTCAGCAAAGTCAGGGTTAGGGGGCATGGGTAAACTGAGCAAAGACGAAGGGAAGGAAACGGGAGAACAGATCAGAGGTGGGCGGGCAGGGTCCGGAGGAGGAGGAGGAGGAGGAGGAGACAATGGAGAGGAGCAGTCAAGGACAGCAGCAGGAAGAGGGGGAGTAGAAAGAGAGGAGAGCACCCCAGCAAGAGCAGCAACCGAAAGGGAAGCGGGGGCCAAAGAAACCTCCATAGCAGGAACAGGGGGCGCAAGCACTGAAACGGGAGTGGAAGGAGCAACAGAGCCAGAAGGAGGAGCTGAGGAAGAAAGCGAAGCCTTCTTACCCGCCGGGGAAGAGGAAGGAGAGGAGCCAGGCTTACGCTTCTGACTTAAAGAGACCGGTGTCCCAGCAACTACGTACCGGGCAACGGATTCCAGTGTCTCAACAGGAGAAGCCGAACGAGAGCACACACGACGGCCGTTAGGAGAGCGATGGACATCCGCCCGCACCGACAGGCGGCGGGGAGAGCCGATAGATGGAGGAAGAGGATGGGAAGGAGGATCGGAGGGGGACGAGGAAGGAGACACAGAAGACACGACAGACCGGGTAGAAGGAAGGGGAACCCCAGACAGAGGACCAGGAGGAGGATCCTTCGGGAGAGAACCCAAAGGGACAGAGGAGGGGGCAGTGGGCGCATCAGGGTCCAAGGCCTGGAAACGGTTGTGAGTCTGAGGAAGGCGGGAAGGACGAGGAGAGGAAGAGCGCAACACGCGAGCATAAGAGATATTAGCATAAGGCGGGAGCCGGCGAACCTGGCGCCTCGCCTCAGGAAAAGATAAACGCTCCCGGTGCTTCAAGTTGAGGACGGCTGCCTCAAGCTTGTAATGGACACACGCACGGGAGAAGGTAGGATGGGCCTCACCGCAGTTGAGGCAACGAGCCTGGGGAGAAGCGCACTCCGACTTAGAGTGACCTTCGCCACCACACAAAGGACAGAGAGAGACAGTCCCGGAGCAGCGGAGGGCACCATGCCCAAACCTCCAGCACTTGTTGCAGAGCCGAGGAGAAGGAATGTACTCCTGGACAGAGCACCTGGCACCAGCAAGAATGACAGAGGGTGGAAGGGTCCTACCATCAAAGGTAATCTTCACAACCCGGAGGGGTTGACGGCGACTACCACGAGGGGGACGAGTAAACGTGTCCACCTGGAGAATAGAATGGCCCTGGGCAGCGAGGATATGTCGAATATCGTCGTGGCAGTCGCGTAGGTCCCGAACACCGGTCGCAACATGGGGCGGGAGCAAAATAGTGCCAACACTGGCATTCAACTGGACGTTCTTCGAGACCCGAACGGGGGTCTCGCCAAGGCAGGATAAGGCAGCCAAGCGGGAAGCAGCATCCTGAGAAGGAGCAGCAACGACACGCGTACCGAGACGAGTGGGGTTAAAAGTAATGGAGGCATCCACGGAATCAATGAGATGTCGATGAAGGGAGAAATCGTCAGGAGGTGCAGAATCAAGAGGGAGGAGATCAAAATATTTGGCCCACGAAGCGGGACCAAACAAGGCTTGATAGATAGCAGAACTGGAAGGAATCGAGCGAGGGCGGCCGTGACGAGAACGGCGGTGAGAACCCCCAGAGAGAGAGGGGTTAAAAGGCGCAGTAGTAACAACGAGAGAAGGAGCCGCGCCAGGGGACGAGGTAGTCACCACTGGGGGCTTGGGGCTCGACCCAACCACAGAGGAGGGAGGGGAGCCAGGGGAAGGAGTCAGAGAGGCCAAAGGAGGAGCAAGGTCGGGGCCCAATGCAGCGGAGGCTACAGAGCCCGGTCTTCCAATACGGACCGACTCGGGGGCTTGGTCGCCCACCCCACGAGCCTGAGAAGGTAAACCAGAAGAAGCCGAAGCAGGGGTAATCATCTTGACGAAAGAAGAATTCACTCACGAATGTGCCCCCACACCCACCATGGAGCCACAATTAGAGGCAGGACACCCAACAAGAAGCTATCGCCGATCTTGTCGGGGCCTCCTAGGGGTGCGTCGTGAGTATACGCCCCACAAACGCCACCTTAAGAAACCGACAGTCCGTCGAGATCGGGTTCAGTGACGAAGTGGGGATTGACAATAAAAGGTTCCCCTCGCTCTCGACGTCGGGTACTGCAGTTCTACGGGTGCAAGAGTATGCCTCCTCAAGCACCCGGGCGTCAAAATAGAAGAAGTCCAAGGGAAGAACCAGAACGAGCAAAAGGTCGGCAGGAAACGGCAAGCAGATAGGAGAAGAGGGGGGAGAAAAACGAAACAGAAGGAAAAGGAAAAGATGCCCAGCAGAATTGGAGAGGACGGCAGCAGGAGCACAAGGCTAGAAAAGGACAGGACTGTCCCAAGGAGCATCACACTCCGGCAGCCGCCCACCAAGCCCCCACACGGCGACAACGAGCTGAGCGGGGAGGGGGTTATAGTAAGTAAATATACCATATTTCTTCATTACTTACGTAATGCTAATACGTTTTGGGTAGTTTTGGCCTGATTTGGGTGATTGGGGTAATTCTATGGACCGGTTCCTGTTCCTCTTCACCACCTCCCTCTTTCTGTCCGGTTATCTCGCCTACAGGATTCTCTCTCCGTTCGTATTTCTGATGTTTCTCCTCGTGTTGTTCCTTCTTTGCCCCCGTGGAGGGTCCCTCTTCCGCGGTTTTGTACTTCCTTGACCCGTATCACTAAAGCTTTTACCCCTCCTACAGTTCTAAAACGCCTTTTCCTCGAGCACTTTTCTTCTCACTCCCGCTCCGTTTCTGTCTTCACTGATGGGTCTAAGTCAGCGGACGGTGTTGGCTACTCTGTTGTTTTTCCTGATCGCACTTATATGTGTCGCTTGCCTCCGGAGACTAGCATCTTTACAGCGGAACTTTATGCTATTCTCTATGCTCTTCGTCTCCTGCTTTCTCGTTGTCAGTCTTCCTTTGTGGTTGTTGTTGACTCTCGTAGTGCCCTCATGGCTCTCGGGTGCTTTAATCCAGTTCATCCAGTAGTTGTCGAGATCCAGCATTGGCTATTTCTCGTTCACAGTAAATTTAAGTCGGTTGAGTTTTGTTGGGTTCCCAGCCATATTGGCGTGTCTTTAAATGAGCGTGCGGATGCTGCCGCTAAGGAAGCTGTCCGCTCTTGTCCCATCTCTCATAAAGGCATTCCGTATTCCGACTTTTACCCGGTTATCCATTCCTCAGTCCTTACCCGTTGGCAGGCTTCTTGGTTGTCTGTTACTGGTAACAAGCTACGTACTCTTAAATGTTGTGTTTCCTCGTGGCCGTCCTCCTTCCACCGTAACCGGCGGTGGGAAACAGCTCTGGCGAGGTTGCGTATTGGCCATACTCGCTTAACCCATGGTCACTTGATGGAGCGCCGCCCTGCTCCTTATTGTCCTAGTTGCATTGTCCCTCTTACGGTCGTGCATGTCCTTCTTGAATGTCCTGACTTCCAGGACGAGCGTGCGTCTTGCTTTCCGACCGCCCCTCGCGGTCACCTATCCCTCGATAGAATTCTTGGTGACTCGGATACTTTTGATATCGTTCGCCTTATGCGTTTTTGTTCTCGTATTGGCATCCTTGGTGATATTTAGCGCCCTCTGATTATTTTGCGTATTTGATGGTGCTACATAGCCTTCCCGGTTTGGTGCCTTCTTTTGATAATTACTTACTAGGTAAATTTTAATTATTCACATCATTGTTTTAATAAACTCTTCTAAAGATACTGTATTGGATTTAATTTACACTATATAAACACATTATTAAATACTGATTCAATTCAAATTTTTCAAATGTTTATTCAGGTAAAGTACATACATACAAGGTGCAATATAAATATTGATGAATTTATAGATAGAGCTAGTACATACAATGCCTAAAGCCACTATTACGCAAAGCGTTTCGGGCAGGAAAAACACTAAAGACTAAAACTTAATACTAATTGAGATTAAAGTATAAAATGTGTTGAGAAAATAAAAAAATAAAAAAAGGGGGGAACATGGCAGAAAAACAGCACAAAATACAACTTGATCGACAAACAGCATTGTTTAAAAATAGCAGACATGGGTTGACATTATAGGGGTAAGGTAGTGCTTAGTTTGTACCCCTCTCACCCAGTTAAAGATAAAGTCTTTAACATGATTGGGAAGGTCATTCCTCATTCTGGGTCCCTTGATTTGTAGAGCATTTCTAGTTTAAGTCGTACTCTTAGAATATGAAAAAGGTATTTGTTTCTGGTGCGGTGCTCATGGGTTCTGTTAAAACCTTCAATGAAGCTTTTAAGGTCAGGATTGGCATTAGTTCAGCATTTCATATATATATATAATACACACGAGAGGACGTGCAGTGACTTAATATCTAACATATTCAGAGATTTGGGTAGGGGTACCGAGTGATATCTGGGGCCGGAGTTGGATATTGCCCTAATAGCAGCTTTGTGTTGAGTAATTGGAGGACGTAAATGATTTTGGGTAGTTGAACCCCAAGCACAAATACCATAGTCGAGATAAGGATAGACGAGAGAGTAATAGTGTCACCAGGGCAGGGCGAGGTACTGTATCAACAATATTCAGTTATAAAAATAAACAAAAATAATGCTTTAAATAATCAATAATACTGTGCAGATCTGCATTTCTGTGGTGCATGTATTTTGCTTTACATTAACATTTTCATTTTACCCAATCATCATTAAATGCTTATATGCAACACTATCATTATAATATACTAATACAGTACTTTACTATAATCAGGAAGAAAGTCCATTACGGGCTCACCATAGCCCATAGCTCACCATACTACTGTACTTTGAATTTTTTTTCCAAGTAGCTGAACCTAAAACAGCAACAACATCAGGAAGAATAACTGACACCTGGTACTCTGGTTGATACCTGGTTGGCCAGGTGTCTGATCTCGGATGTGTGTTCAAGAAATAGGAAAGAAAAACTTAATACCAGCCAAATGTTTATTGAGAACCACAGTAAAAACACTTAACTTTCATTAGTAAAATTTTAGGGCATTATAAAAATCTTATGATAGAAGACTCTTCAAGACTTAACACTAGTAATTAATATTATGTTCATTTAAATGTGATAACCCCTTTTAACCAATTAGAATAGTATAATGCTAATGATATGAAACAATTGTACAGAACTGAAAATATAAATCATGTGCTATACCTACCGTTATACATTTTTGTTGTAATGAAGGTAATATTAAAAATTACTAAAAGTTAAACAGTTCAATTACAGGTAATGCAATTAAAGCAAATAAAGTCTTCTGGCTGTTTAAAACAAAAATATACATTTATTCAATATAAATGGACTCGGGAACACAGTAATATTATATACACGTTAAAAATTCCAATGAAAGACATTATCAGTCAGGATGTGGATTGAAGACTTGCTAGTATATATAATATCTAAAGAAACAACCATTTTGACTGGATACTGACGAACCCTCAACACGAAGAGTCAGCTGGAATCTTCTTGCCAAGCCTAACAAACCCCCAATCTCTCATGGAATTTGTAACAATGTACAAAATTCTGACTTAAATGCAAGTAATTATCAAAAGAAAGTGCTAAGCATAGAAAGCTATATAGCACTGTATGTTACAGAATATTCAAGAGTTCCTAGATACCATTTAGGATGCCAATAACTTAAATGCAAAACAGAACCAATATTTGAAAATTGATTTCTAGTTCTATGCAGCACATATACGCCATTGCTTCAGTCTTCAGGGTGATATTTGCTTTGAGCTTTGTATTAGAGCAGATCTAAAATGAAAAAGAAAAAAAGCAATGAAAAGTGTCAGAAATAAAATAGTACCATCTTTGGCTACCACTGGCAACGTATGGTGGGCTCAAATGGTACTATCTTCAGCAAACACTAGCAACATATGGTGGACATGTATGGTGTTTCATGGTACAGTATTATATTTCAATTATTCATAAAATTATCTTGTAATAAAACCAAGGCAAGTATTTCAAGTACATGGAAACTCAGAAGGCTAAATGAATTAAGATTCCAGAAGAAAAATTTATAATACAAAGTTATAAGGATCAGGATAATGTGCATGTAATTAATATACAATTAGTCTTAATAGGAAATTCTAATTACAATAATATCAGCAACAAGAAACTGAAGAAAATACCACTTAACGTTCTATTGCAGGGGGAACAAATATTTATTATATATAAGCTTCTTGCAATAAATGAATATATTATTATTTGTGGATTTTACTGTGACTGGATGTTAAAAGTCTCATCTGTTACTTTTTAGAAAAACAAGCTTCATTTTATATTTAAAATATTAAAAAATATAATAGCTTAAATTTGACATGAGCTTCAAACTTACATAACTACTGTACTGTACTGTATAAGCAGTTTCATTAGATTTTGCTGGATATATACTTGACAAAACAGTATTTGTAAATAATTTGGTCTATAGCATAAATATAGCTCAGCAAAAATAAACGCATCTTTAAAAATTTACAGCCTTTTTCTATTGTTTTTAATCATCATTTACTCTTCAAACAATTGTAAGTAAAATAAAATAACTACATTGCATGAGTGGAAAATAGTGCAACAAAATAGTTAATAAAATTTAAAATGACTGACTAAGAGAAGGATGTCATCAAGCCAAAATATGAGTCTTGAGTAATTATACAAGGACATCCATGATCTGGAGAGATAAATATCAGTATTCTGAAAACAAAAATCAACACCAGTGTTCTAGGGGGAGGGTGCAGGGTGGGTCTGCTAGACACGTACGTGACCACACTCTACCGCTCGTGATCTGTAACGCAAGAGGATCTTGTTTAGAAGCCAAGTTGACAAAGAATAAATATTTTTATACAGCTAATTTTTTTGTATGGACTTTGATGAGCTTGGTTTTTCATGCCATATTTCTCTCAAATCTGAAAAGGTTGCTGTACAAGAGGCATACATGCTACAATAGTAACACCCTTTTTTAGGAATCCATTCAGCATCACTAATTTATGTAAATAATAAGCAGAAAAAGAGGGAGAAGGGGGAGTTGCATGAAGGATGTAGGCTAAGGTCTACACATTTTTGGTCAAATTGCCCGAGGTTAATACAGTAGCATTAAACTCTCAATTTGTATGATTGTTACACAATCTTTATACTACTCTTACTTGTTGGGCAAACAGTAAAAATCTTACAAATCTTTCAATTTATGAAATGCGGTAAGCATAGCATTTATATTCATACTGAACTGAAAAATAATTCAGACTTATTTACTTACATTAAAGTAAATGCATCAAACAGCATATGACTAGCAACACTGTTAATAAGAAACAGTTACAATGTGCAATGTTTCATTAATGATGTGCATAATCATGCCCAAGGCCCATTGCTGAGTTTTAAAACTAATAAATTTTCCTATGTATCCCCAACATATATCCCCCACATGCAACCTGCAAAAGTTTAAACACAAAGTCCTGTGTTTGTGTGAATGGCAGATCCTTTAAATCAAAGTATTAAAGGTAGTTTAAGATGAACAGGTCGTAAAAGTCTGTAGCACCCACGAACTGTTAAATGGAAGATTTTATGGAAACAGACGATCACAACAGATGAGACAACACCCAAAATGAACTCTTGTACTGATTCCACAGAGTAATTACATCACAACTGAACAAGGACTGATGCCTGTCCACTCATATCTGTGCTTCCTGTGGAGCAGGAGCCTTCACTCACGATTCCTGTGATGACCTGAAAATAAGTTATTTATTATCAGAATATACAAATTATATTCAATGCAGTTTGATACAAGACAGCATGACTCATTAAGCTTAACACACTTCATTATCTAAAGTGAGCATACTAACTTTAAACGTGATGATAATTTAATTTTGAAAGAATTAGTAAATTAGCTTTCAAATTCAAGCCACTGTTGTGGAAAGGAATTTCCACAAATTTGTACAATCAAACAGCACAGTCTGTCATGCATTCAAAATACTATGAAAGGTAAGTATATACAGGAAATAGAAGATAAAATACATGCCAAAAGTACTTAAATAAATATTGTTTACACTTCTCGGATATAATTTGTTTACACTTTACATTGGATATAATTAAGAATTGACTAGATATATTAATTTACAGTGTTTACATCCAATTTAGGAATAACACACAGTACTCCAAAGAAAATAAAAATCTACACATTTAATTGTATAAATTAGATTAACTGTATGCCTCTGTTCACCCAGAAGTGATTAGGTACCTGGTTGTTGAACAATTGGCAGGTCGTATTCCAAGGAAACTAGAAGGTAAGGCTTACCATGACCTATGGGAAGAGAATGCTAACAGTTGCCTGTTCCTGTACCCACCCATGTTTAAAAAGAAAAAACCAAGTTCCATTACTTTATTTTATTTTATTTATTTATATACAAGAAGGTACATTGGGTTAGAGAGAATACATAGCATAGTATTTACAATCTTGTAAAGCCACTAGTACGCGCAGCGTTTCGGGCAGTCCGTTTATTTTGTCCATTTCCATTTATCAAACGGTTTCATGGTTGTATTGTTCATATGAGAGTTATGGTATGTATTGTGATGCCCTAACATTTGAGGTCTAACATTATCAATATTGAAAAGCCTTTGCCAGTCTTAAGATTATTTGAAGAGTTCACACAGATCTCTGTGCAAGGTCTCAATACAGTTTTTACTTCCCTCTTTACCATAGATCAAAAATGTACATTTAGTCTTGACAATACATCCACTCTCCAATGAAGAATGAAGAAGCCACTGGCTGCAGCTTAATAAAAGGAGGAGGATTATCAGGAGGCACAGGACACTAAGCTCCACTAGAAAACACACTGCCTCACCATGTAGTCAACAAACTTCTGGTCTTCTCACCTAGCCCTTTTGCCTCATCTAGCTTCATGACAGCACGCTTGACTCGCAGTTAACAATGCTGATTATTTCATAAATTACTGTAACGTATTTATATTGTTGACCTACTGTGTGCATTAGTAGTGCATTCATATGTAGGGCAATATTTGCAAAATCTTTTGTCATTTGCAAATTTTAAGTAGTTTGTAATTTCTCGTTTATGAGAATGTACATCATAATAAGGGGTGGCCCCCAGATGGAAAATTGCAGTGTTGTACTTCACTCAACATTTTTCAAATTAGATTACCTGGTTGATAGGGTTCTGGGAGTTCTTCTACTCCCCAAGCCTGGCCCGAGGCCAGACTTAACTTGTGAGAGTTTGGTCCACCAGGCTGTTGCTTGGAGCGGCCCGCAGGCCCAAATACCCACCACAGCCCGGTTGGTCCGGCACTCCTTGAAGGAAACAATCTAGTTTCCTCTTGAAGATGTCCACGGTTGTTCCTGTAATATTTCTGATGCTCACTGGTAGGACGTTGAACAACCGTGGACCTCTGATGTTCATACAGTGTTCTCTGATTGTGCCCATGGCACCTCTGCTCTTCACTGGTTCTATTCTGCATTTTCTTCCATGTCATTCACTCCAGTACATTGTTATTTTACTGTGCAGATTTGGGACCTGTCCCTCCAGTATTTTCCATGTGTATATTATTTGGCATCTCTCTCGTCTCCTTTCTAGTGAGTACATTTGGAGAGCTTTGAGACGATCCCAATAATTTAGGTGCTTTATCTCGTCTATGCGTGCTGTATATGTTCTCTGTATTCCCTCAATTTCAGCAATCTCTCCTGCTCTGAAGGGGAAAGTGAGTACTGAGCAGTACTCAAGACAGGACAACAAGTGATTTGAAGAGTACAACCATTGTGATGGGATCTCTGGACTTGAAGGTTCTCGTAATCCATCCTATCATTTTTCTGGCTGACGCAATACTTGCTTGGTTATGCTCCCTAAACGTTAGGTCGTCAGACATCATTATTCCCAAATCCTTGACATGCTGTTTTCCTACTATGGGCAGATTAGTTTGTGTTTTGTACCCTGTATTATGTTTAAAATCCTAATTTTTGCTGTATCTGAGTACCTGGAATTTATCACCGTTAAACATGTTATTTTCTGCTGCCCAATCGAAAACTTTGTTAATATCTGTTTGTAGTTTATCAATGTCTTCAGCAGAGGTAATTTTCATGTTGATTTTTGTATCATCTGCAAAGGATGACGTGAAGCTGTGACTTGTGTTTTTGTCTCTATCTGATATGAGAATAAGAAACAGCAGTGGTGCAAGGACTATCTTGAGGTACAGAGCTTTTAACTGCGCTCAGACTCGATTTTACTTGATTGACTGTTACTTTTTGTGTTCTGTTCGACAGGAAATTGAGTATCCAGCGTCCTACTTTACCAGTTATACCCATTGACCTCATTTTGTGTGCAATCACTCCATGGTCACATTTGTCGAATGCCTTTGCAAAATCCGTGTATACGACATCTGCATTATGTTTTTCCTCTAATGCCTCAGTGATTTAGTCATAGTGGTCAAGTAGCTGTGAGAGTGTTGGCCTGGATTGTGGAGGTCATTGGTTTCCATGAATCTAGTGACCTGACTCCTGATCACTCTCTCAAATACTTTTATTATGTGGGACATTAGTGCAACTGGTCTATAATTCTTTGCCAATGCTTTGCTACCACCCTTGTGTAGAGGGGCAATGTCTGCTGCTTTAAGCGTATCTGGTATCTTCCCTGTGTCCAAGCTCTTCCTCCACACTATACTGAGTGCCTGTGCTACTGACACTTTGCATTTCTTTATAAATATTGAATTCCATGAGTCTGGACCCGGGGCTGAGTGCATGGGCATATTGTCAATTTCTCTTTCAAAATCTGCCACGCTCGTATTGATATCCGTTATATTTACAGGTGTTTGAGTATCATTCATAAAGAAATTGTCCGAATCTTCCACTTTCATGCTGAGTATCGGAGTGCTAAACATGTCCTCATACTGCTTTTTTAGGATTTCACTAATTTCTTTGTCATCCTCAGTGTATGAACCTTCACTAATATGAATAGGTCCAATACTGGCAGTGGTTTTCGCTTTTGATTTAGCATATGTGAAGAAATATTTTGTGGTTTTTCTTTATTTCTTGAATTGCTTTCTGTTCTAGTTGCCTTTCTTCAGTCTGATAGGAATGCTTCAGTCTCTGTTCGATTTCTTCAATCTCCCTGTGATTAATTTCTCAACAATTTAGGATGGCCCTTTGCTTTCTTTATTTTATCCATTGTTTTATCCATTCTAGCACAAATTTTCTATTTATTCCATGTGCCATATCTGTGCCACTTTCATGTAACTTTTTTGAAGATTGGAAATATACAAATGTCACCCCTATCTAGGAGTATTTCTTGATCAGGGATTTTTTAATAGAACTTTGTAGAATTCTTATAAATTATTATTTATATTTAACATATACAGTATTACTTTAATAAATATTAGTCCCATTGGTTGTTTCATATGGCAGTCCCAAAAATAGAGAGGTGAGAATAAGTAAACCATCGTATAAGAAATCTCAAGTTGATAACATATAGTAAAATACATGACAGATTACTAAACACGTGCAATATCAATGAATATATACACAGGTTTCAGGATAAATCCTAAATGGTTGTATTTTCTCATGCAGTAACCAGGGTCAAATAATCTACTTAATACAAAATTATATCTATCAAGGAATATAGAAACTTTGTATTTTATTATATGTAAAATCATTCTCCAAGCACAGTTAATCTTTCACCACATTAGATATGGGAAGACCGAATAACTGTTAACTATTAATTGAAGTCCGAATACTTGTTAATCATGAAACTAAATGATTTGTTTAGTACAGTACTAGAATACATGACAAAACATTAAAAAAATAAATGAAGGATGTCTCAGCATGTGTACAAAAGATAAAATACTTTACTCCAGAACAAAAAGAATTAAAAAGATGTCCCTACAAATTATAAAGGAATACAAATCAGGAACCTCGGAAGAAAACCTGAAGATACAATAAGTAGACTGCACTGTAAATGTCACTAAAAACAATGATCATTCTTCACATGGTGATGTGAAGAATGACTCCTTCCTGGAGTCCACATGACTCCTTCCAAGCATCTACAAAAAATCCAGAGATCTTCTAGTAAAATATTCAGCATTTACATTATTCTAGCAATAAAACAAATTTGAGATTTTAACACAATGGTGCTGTATAAAGGTTAGTGAATCTTACTATAATGCGCCTCTAACCTTTTCAGTTACAACTCCCTGGATGAATATGGGGTGCACTACTGCTCACAAAATCAGTATGGGGTGCACTACCCCCCTAACAGGATGGGTGTGGGGTGCACTACCACTCTCAGGATGGGTATTGGATGCACTACTGCTCACAGGATGGGTATGGGGTAAATAATTAATTTCTAAACTAAACTTACCATCAGGGATAATTTGACGAGGAGCTCCATAAGGTGTCATGCCAGCCTGCGACGCCCCTTTGTTGCTCCCAGACTGAAGGCCAATGATTTTCTGGCCATCCACTGTCACTTGCTTTTGGGCTTCTGCAATATTTTAATTTTATTACAATATATAGTTTGCACTGCTCAAAAAAAAATTCAAATTAGCAACTGAAGAAATACAGTACAGTATATTATTGTTCAATAGTGTTCAAGCCATAGTATTTGTACATTCTCCAAGATGCAATTAAGCACTAATTATTGAGCCATTACTTAAGAGACCATTATATATTTTTAAACAGCATGAGGGAAGATAACAGTCAAGAATGTAAGGCAATTATCAGGAGAAAGCACCAAGTCAGCTTGATAATATAGCACTGAAAGGATATGAGGACATAATTGGAGCTGGGATAGGAAGACTGGGTTAAGAAATTGTGCCCAACCACTTTGACGGTCGAATTGAACCCCGACCTGCATGAAGCAAGACGATCGCTCTACCGTCCAGCCAGAGTGGTTGGTATGGGGGGAAGGGTATTTCTATTTAATATTATACTGCACTAATTTTCCAACTATAATTAACTGGATGTACTTAGATTTGGGTATGGATATTCTAAGTAGAGACCACACGGCTCTTCGTGAACTTTCGAGGAATGCAGCAAGATTTCAAGAAACTGAAAGGTGTCATACAAATATTCCAACTAGGGCACAAGGACTGACCTCCAGGGATGATTTGCCTTCCAGTGCCATACGCCGTCATACCCGCCTGCGATGCTCCCTTATTACTGCCATACTGTAGCCCAATGATCTTGTGCGACTCTTTTAGCTTCTCCTCCGAAAAGTTCCTCTTGTTCTCCATGGCAACCTTCACACCTATCACAGGTCCATCGAAGCTCCTTTTTTGGGCCTGCAATACAGTAATCAAGTAAGGAAAGTGAGGTGCATGTGACATTCCACTACTGCCCACAAGATGGGTATGGGTGCATAATAATTGAACTAAACTAAAAAACTGACAATGTATTTAATATAAGAGGTTAATATATCTTAATATTATAATATTATATTAAATATATTAATAAGATTATTAATAAGAGGTTATGATAAATAAAAAGTATCTAAAGGCTAAAATAATTGTCACACACAAAGTACCCAATATTAAGATTTGCCCTAGGCCTTCAGAGCAACACAAGGTACATCTTACAATACTGCTGTAAAAAAGTACCATAACAAAGAAGGTACTGTACTGTGCCATACCAAGCAAATTGTAAAGGATGTTAAAAGTAAAAAATATGGCTACTAAATTCAAACACATGTTTTTTTTTATCATGGCAGAACTTTACATCTGTTATAAGTTATATAAGTTATATAAGACAATTTATATCTGGATATGAAAGGGTATAAACTAATGAGCACAGGAGGTGCAATTATTACTTGTGGCCAATTTCGAGAGTATTTTTGCTACACAACTTGTACAATTGCTAAGTTTTTTGTTGTAAACTGTATTTACCCTCTTGAAACTTTATTTTGGTCTGTCAATAATTTTTAAACATGCAGGAAGAAGGTTGAAAGCACGTGGAATTGCGTTCTTTGTATATATGACACCTCGACGAAAGCTTCCATATTTTATGCTTAAACAAGGCATAGGATCTTTTACCTAAATTTACCTGAGGGTCACACTCTAGTGGCCTCAATGAGGACAGGAAACCGGCAGCTTGTCTAAAGGTCACCCCCCCCCCCATTTGTCCTGATGTTATCCAGCTGGATTTTGAATTGCAGCAGTGTTTTCACATGTATGGCTTTAGTTAGTAGGCAGTTCCATGGATTTATAAGCCTATGGGTGAAAAGCTTCAGTTTTATGTCCTCCAGTGTATCTTTCGTGTCCAATAATTTCTCTGGCAGATATTCATTTTGCCTTATGTTATGTTGGGCCTGATGGCTGAGTGGACAGCGCTCAGGTTCATAGTCCTAAGGTTCCGGGTTCTATTCCCAGTGGAGGTGGAAACAAATGGACAGTTTCTTTCACCCTGATTCCACTGTTTGCCTGGCAGTAAATAGGTACCCGGGAGTTATACAGCTGTTATGGGCTGCTTCTTGGGGATATACAACAAAAAGGAGGCCTCGTCGAGGACGGGGCCACGGGGTCGCTAAGTCCCGAAATCATCTCAAGATAACCTGAAGATGATGTTCAGAACACGTTAGGTTGTCAGACACTATTTATAGATCCTTTTCATCTTTGCCTTCTATGGGAAGACCTGATTACTTCTTGCATATCCAGTTTATATAGTTATTTCCATCTAAGTACGTACAACAATTGGAATCTATTTTAGGTAGGATTTCTAGGCGATTTCTAGGGAATTCCTAGTAGGATTTCTAGATTTTTAGTAGGATTCTAAGTAGTATTTCTAGTAGGATTTCTAGGGGATTCTTAGTAGGGTTTCTAGTAGGATTCCTAGGATTTCTAGTAGGATTTCAAGGGGAATTTCTAGTGGGATTCCTAGTAGGATTTCTAGCAGGATTTTCAGGGGATTCCTAGTGGGTTTCTAGTGAGATTTCCAGTAGGATTTCTAGAAGGATTTCAAAGCGATTTCTTGTAGGATTTATAGGATGATTTCTAGGGGATTCCTAGTAGGATTTCTAGGGGGTTTCTTGCTGAATTTTTAGGATTCCTAGTAGGATTCCCAGTAGGATTTATAATAGGATTTATAGGTGATTTTAGTAGGATTTCTAGGCGATACCTAGTGGAATTTCTAGTAGGATTCCTAGTAGAATTTCTAGGAGGATTTTTAGTAGGATATAAAGGCAATTTCTAGTAGGATTTCAAGGATTTATAGTAGGATCTCTAGGAGAATTTCTAGGTGATTTCTAGTAGGATTTGTAGGGAATTTCTAATAGGATTTCTAGTTGGATTTTAAGAAGGATTTCTGGTACGATTTCTAGTAAATTTCTAGGTTATTTAAAGGAGGATTCCCAGTAGTATTTCTAGTAGAATTTCTAGGAGATTCTTAGTAAGATTTCTAGCAAAATTCATAGTAGGATTTCTAGTAAGACTTCTAGTAGGATTTATATTAGAATTTCTAGTAAGATTTCTAATGGGACTCCTAGTAGGATTTCCAAGTGATTTCTAGAAGGATTTCTAGGATTTATAGGAGGATTTTAGGGGATTCCTAGTAGGATTTCTAGTAGGATTCCTTTTAGGATTTCTAGGTGATTTCCAGGATTTCTAGGGGATTCCTAGTAAGATTCCTAGTAGGATTTCTAGGCGATTTCTAATAGGATTCCTTGTTAATTTCATAGTAGCATTTCTAATAGGATTCCTAGTGGGATTTCTAGTAGTATTTCTAGTAGGATTTCTAGTAGAATTCCTAATAGTATTTCTAGTATGATTTCTAGGTGATATCTAGTATGATTTCGAGGTGAGTTATAGTAGGATTTCTAGCTGATTTCTAGTAGAATTTGTATGATTTCTATTAGGATTGCTTGGGGATTCTTAGTAGGATTTCTTGCAAGATTTCTACTAGGATTTCTATTAGGATTTCTAGGGGAATTTCTAGTAAGATTTCTAGTGTGATTCCTAGTAGGATTTTTAAGGGGGTTCCTAGTAGGATTTCTAGGATTTTACTAGGATTTCTAAGAGAGTTATAGTATGATTTCCACGATTTCTAGTAGGATTTCTAGGGGATTCCTAGTAGGATTTCTAGGGGATTCCTAGTAGGATTTCTAGTAGCATTCCTAGTATTTCTAGTAGGATTTATAGGGGATTCTTAGTAGGATTTCTAGTAAGATTTCTAGGGAAATTTCTTTAAAAGATTTCTAGCGGGATTCCTAGTAGAATTTTAGGGTAATCCTAGTAAGATTTCCAGATGATTTTTAGTATCATTTCTATGGGATTCCTAGTAAGATTTCTTGTAGGATTCCTAGTAGTATTTGTAGTAGGATTTCTAGGGGATTCCTAGTAAAATTTCTAGTAGGATTTTAGTAGGGTTTCTAGGCGATTTCTATAAAGATTTCTAGTAGGATTTCCAGTAGGATTTCAAGGTGATTTCTAGTAGGATTTCTAGGGATTTCTAGTTGGATTTCTAGGGATTCCTAGTTGGATTTCAAGTAGGATTCTTAGTATTTGTAGAAGGATTTCTAGATAATTCCAGTAGGATTTCTAGAGGATTCTTAGTAGGAATTCCAGTAGGATTTCCAGTAGGATTTCTAGGTGATTTCTGGTAAGATTTCAAGGGGATTCCAAGTAGGATTTCAAGGGAATTCTTAGTAGGATTTCTAGTATGATTTCAGGGGATTCCTAGTGGGATTTCTAGGTGATTTTTAGTAGGATTTCTATGGGATTCCTAGGAGGATTCCTAGTAGGATTTCTAGTAAGATTTCTATGGGAATTTCTAGTAGGGTTTCTAGGGGATTCCTAGTGGGATTTCTAGGCGAGTCCTAGTAGGATTTCTAGTAGGATTCCTAGTAGGATTTCTAAGTGATTTCTAGAATTTCTTGGAGATTCCTAGTAGGATTTCTAGTTGGATTCCTAGTAGGATTCCTAGTAGGATTACTGGTAGTATTTCTTGGTATTTTCTAGTACAATCCCTAGTAGTATTTCTAGGGTATTCCTAGCAAGATTTCTAGTTGGATTTCTAGTAGGATTTCTAGTAGGATTAGGTTAGGTTAAGTTTTGTGGTAGGATTTCTAGGTGATTTATAGCAGGATTCCTAGTTGTATTTCTAGTAGGATTTCTACAGGATTCTTAGTAGGATTTCTAGTAGGAATCCTAGTAAGATTCCTAGTAAAATTCCTAGTAAAATTCCTAGTAACATTTCTAGTAGGATATCTAGTAGGCTTTCTAGGGGAATTTCTAGTCTGATTTCTAGTGGGATTCCTAATTGGATTTCTAGTAGGATTTCTAAATGATTTCTAGTAGGATTTCTAGTAGGATTTCCAGAATTTCTAGGGGATTTCTAGTAGGATTCCTAGTATGATTTCTTCGTGATTTCTAGTAGGATTTCCAAGGGATTCCTAGTAGGATTTCTAGTAAGATTCCTAATAGGATTTTTTGGGGATCCCTAGTAGGATTTCTAATATGATTTTAGGTGATTTCTAGTAGGTTTTCTAGATTTCTAGTAGGATTTCTAGGTGATTTCTAAGATTTGTAGTAGGATTTCTAGTAGAATTTCTAAGTGATTTGTAGTAGTCTTTCTAGGGGATTTCTAGTATTATTTCTAGTAAGATCCCTAGTAATATTTCTAGGAGTTCTAGGGGATTCCTAGTAGAATTTCTAGGATTCCTTGTAGGATTTTAATAGGATTTCTAGTAGGATTTCTAGGTGATTTCTAGAAAGATTTCTAGTAGGATTCCTAGTAGGATTTCGATGTGATTTCTAGTAGGATTTAAAGGGGATTCCTAGTTGGATTTCAAGTAGGATTTAAAGGGGATTCCTAGTTGGATTTCAAGTAGGATTTAAAGGGGATTCCTAGTTGGATTTCAAGTAGGATTAAAACGAACATTTCTAGTAGGATTAAAAGAATTAGAACATGAACATTGTAGAATATTCTGGTCCTTAATTGTGGGTGTAGGGACACGATACAAGTTCCAGAATGTAACGCCTGGCTGAACACACACAGCCATGCAAGGTGTCACCCTTAATGGGCACCCTCTTATCTACAGAGCCGGCGGAAGGGTGGGTAGGTGTGACTGTTAGGTGTGACACGCTCATTAGAAAGTGGCCAAGGTAAGTGTCTTCGACGCAGTCATTTGTTTCCTGTCAGAGTTCAATGCCATTGGCTACCTTGCCAGACCTAGGCTTGTCAGTAGACTAGTCCTGGGTGGTATATTTGTAACCCTCAGATTGTACTAGATTTATTTTATTTAAAGGGTGGAGCCTATTCATTTAGACATAACCCTGGAGGGGGCCCAGACGGGCGTGTGATAAGACTTGTGTAACCCATTCATAGTGGATTACTGCTGGTGGTTCCTGTATTCCTGAAAGAGTAAGTGTCCTCTTCCTTTGTTCCAGGTAACACCTGCACTAATTACCCTTATTGTGATTTTTGTGTATTGAAGTAAGGGCTTAGAGGTAGAACATCTAGTTGACAGAGCCCGGGTGCAGGGGGGGGGGAATTGTGTGAAGCACTGGTCTGTGCTTCGTAGAAGCTTCGGGATCCTAGTGAGGGGAGTAACACTCCATGTTGTAATTTTTTTACCATGTTGTGGTACAGTTGACTAAGGCGCATCTAGGAAACATCCCGTGCGTTGGTTCGAACCCTCATCACGGCCCTTGTGGATTTGTTTATTAAATACAAACTTGTGTAAATTTTATGTTTTTGCCGTAATTGGTAATGTTAATATACAGCACTATATCTGGATCTGATTTACCCGAGAGCCACCATGTCTCTAGTGACCTCTGTACCTACAAATATACCTCTAAAATTTTATTATGTACGTTTAATGAATACAATTATTATTCAGTATTATTATTATTAACGGTAGAAGTGGCGAGTTAAGAATGGTGGGGGAAATTGAGCCTACAAGAGCCACAACCAACAGCCACAAGTCCTCCCACAGTATACAAGAGCCACAACTAACAACCACACGTCCTCCCACAGTATACAAGAGCCACAACCAACAGCCACAAGTCCTCCCACAGTATACAAGAGCCACAACTAACAACCACACGTCCTCCCACAGTATACAAAAGCCACAAGTCCTCCCACAATACAAGAGTAAGACTCATCATGGGTTATGGGAAGGGAATGCTCTCGGCCTAATAAGAGGAGCCAGAATTCATCTGCCGTTCCTGTGTTAACAAACAAAACAAAAAAGAACAAAGGCCCCACCCAATACTCACGAGTCCTCCTAGAGCATACAGACAGTCCACAACCTGAAAATAAACAAGGTACAGAGATTAAATATACATGTATTTTTTTTTGTATGATTGATATAACTCAAAACATATTTGGTTAGGCAGGACCTTAGAGAGGCTGTATATCAGCCCCTCTAGTTGATATATATCAACCAGCCTTTCTGGTAGATATATATCAATATATCAATAAAATCAATATTATTTTAAGTCCAATGTCGACGTCCCTTAACACAAGATCATTGGTAGTGATATGCAACCCGTCCTCTTACAAATAACGTCGATTTTCGCTCCTATGCGCTACGGCCAAAAATTGCCGTACTAGAAATTTGAAATTTATTTTCCAAATGAAACGGACCCAAAACAGCAAGTTTTGGGCCTCTGGTAGGTTAGGAGAGCAGCAACTTCTCCTAAGGTTTCGAAACGTCACGAAAACTATAAATTAAATTAAACCTCTAACATAACAGCCTAAGCCAGAGGAAAGCCCAAAACAGAAAACGGGACAGTACGTCACTTTCGTCAGCCGTTACCATTTTCTAATACGATAATTTTAGCCTTAGGCAACGCATACGAGCGAAAAGCGACGTTGTTTGTACAAGAACAAGTTGTATATCACTACCAATGATCCTCTGTTGAGGGACGTCGACGTTAGATTTAAAATAATATTGATTTGACTTCGGAGTCTAGAACATTTTGTTCCAACCGAAGGTGTTCAAATGATGTTCATGTGCTACGGATGTTCACAGTGCAAGAAAGGTGAACTTTAGAACAGATGATGAACACATGTTCCATACTTGTGAGGTCTGGTGACTAGTGTGTTTACAGTCATCTCGATATCTTGTTATAGCAAATAAACAAACATTGAGCTCACCAGCCATGCATAAAACTAAACAAGTTCTACTACAATGCATTATAATATAAAAAAATTATATTTATATATATATATATATATATATATATATATATATATATATATATATATATATATATATATATATATATTTATTTATTTATTTTATTTATTGGTAGCATTCTTTCTTGCAAACATATATTGTTAAATATGACCTAAAGGGTAAGATTAATGATTCTAACAGGAATCTTCTCAATATTTCTTACGTTTTTCTTCACTGTCGATTGAAGTTGAAAAATTAACTCTCCAAAGTTCATTTTTACATTTTATTTATAGTCTGACGACTAGAGATGCATTTCGCAAGGTACACCTTACATTTTCAAAGACAATTTTACCGTGTTTAACATCGAATTATATTCTCTTTGGGTGAGATGGTAAACAACAAGTGGATGAATGGCATAACATATGGGTATTAATTGAGTATCAACTATATCAGTGTATAAATGTATCAGGGGTATTAATTGGATATTAAATGTATCCTTAGGAAGGGTCATTGGATGCAGTCTCTGCGTTGGCTCTGGGTCTTGAAGTGGGTTGAATGTAATTATGTGTTAGCTGGTTGTTGACTGCTGGTCTGGACTTCTTAATATGTAGTGCCTCGCTGATGTCCAGTCTCCTGCTGTCGTTATATCTGTCGATTATTTCAGTGTTGTTTGTCAAGATGTCTCTGGTGATGATCTGGTTGTGTAAGGAAATTATGTGTTACTTGATGGAGCCTTGTTTGTGCATTGTTAATCGCCTAGAGAGAGACGTCGTTGTTTTGCTTAAATACTGAGATCGTTGGGGCTGACAGTCTCCAAGTGGGCATGTGAAGGCATAGACGACGTTAGTCTCTCATAAGAAGTTTTACTTGGTGTCTGGAGTGTTTTTCATAAGCAAGTTGGCTGTCGTCTTGTTTTTGTAGTAAATTGTTAATTGCATCTTCCGATTGTTGTCTGTGGGGAATAGCGTTCCTTTCAAAATATCTTTCAGGACACTTTCCTCCGTTTTATAGACCGTGGGAAAGAAGTTCCTGTACAACAATCTAATAGGAGGTACATGTGTTTGATTCTTCAAACGATGCATGGCGTGTCACTTTTTAATGACGAAATGGCGTCATTAAAAAGGAAGGCGAACCCTCATCAAGGCCCTTGTGGATTTGTTCATTTTTTTTTTTGAGATATATACAAGAGTTGTTACATTCTTGTACAGCCACTAGTACGCGTAGCGTTTCGGGCAGGTCCCTAGAATACGATCCCCTGCCGCGAAGAATCGTTGTTACAACCAAGTACTCATTTTACTGTTGCGTTAAACAGAGGCTACAGTTAAGGAATTGCGCCCAGTAAATCCTCCCCGGCCAGGATACGAACCCATGACACAGCGCTCGCGGAACGCCAGGCGAGTGTCTTACCACTACACCACAGAGACATTTGTACTCAGTTTGTATGTAATGTATTTAATAGGCTACAGTATAGTGGATATTAGTAATTTGGAGCATACGAGCACAGGAGGCAGGCTGGGGGGGGTGTCACAGACCAACCGGAGGCAGACTGGGGTGTCACAGACCAACAGGAGGCAGACTGGGGTGTCACAAACCAACAGGTGGCAGACTGGGGGTGTCACAGACCAACAGGTGGCAGACTGGGGGTGTCACAGACCAACAGGAGGCAGACTGGGGTGTCACAAACCAACAGGTGGCAGACTGGGGGTGTCACAATCCAACAGGTGGCAGACTGGGGGTGTCACAATCCAACAGGTGGCAGACTGGGGTGTCACAAACCAACAGGTGGCAGACTGGGGGTGTCACAATCCAACAGGTGGCAGACTGGGGGTGTCACAATCCAACAGGTGGCAGACTGGGGGTGTCACAATCCAACAGGTGGCAGACTGGGGGTGTCACAATCCAACAGGTGGCAGACTGGGGTGTCACAATCCAACAGGAGGCAGACTGGGGTGTCACAAACCAACAGGTGGCAGACTGGGGTGTCACAATCCAACAGGTGGCAGACTGGGGGTGTCACAATCCAATCAGGTGGCAGACTGGGGGTGTCACAATCCAACAGGTGGCAGACTGGGGGTGTCACAATCCAACAGGTGGCAGACTGGGGGTGTCACAATCCAACAGGTGGCAGACTGGGGGTGTCAAAGAAAAATGAGACACTCCTGATTGTACAAAAGCCTTCACCAGCACCATCTGGCGACTACAAAATCCTACCCCACCCCCTCTCCCCTTCCTTCCCCCCTCTCTCACACCCCACTTCATCACCCCTCCTTTGGCGGGAACTCTCCCCCTGCCCCCAACGGAACATTCTACTTCACAGACAATTCCCTCTGCCAACCTTGCCCTGGGCCCTTCAGAGTCTTCCTTGCTAAATTTCTGTCAGAAATCGATCACTCAACATCAGCTGGTGGATGTTACTGTGCAATATGGTGCTATTTACACAGCAGCAACCGCGGGTGTAGGGACGGGGGGCACAGCTGGCATTGCAAGGCTAGGCAGGTCACACTCACAGCTGCTCAGGTCAGAGGTCAGGCGGAGGTGAAAGGCACTCATGCCTCCAAACTAAGACAGAATATTATCCATGTCGACTCGAGCAGAGATTTGTGAGCACTTTTACTCGCTCTGTTCGACCTTTCCATCGTGTGGACGGTAGCTGGCTGTGTAAACACTGGCTGGCTTGACCCGTCACGCGCGTCTGTGTCGTCAGGCTGTGTTACCACAGCCGCGAGGCGTTACCTCATGGAAATCATCCATGAAAATGATTTTAAGGTCTAAAAAGTTTCCCCGATTTGAATTTCCCGCCAAAACGCACTGCCTTAGACCATCAATTTCAGTCCAATAGATTTTATGGTCAAAAATAATACATACGGGAAATTGCCGGCATTTTCAACTTCTATCGTCGGTGACTATCTGGATGGGAGGTCCTGGCAGTAGTAGTTCTCCAAGCCTGTGCTTGGGGAGAGCTTGTAGTAGATTTGTGAGAGCTTGGTCCAACAGGCTGTTGCCTGGAGCGACCGGCAGGCCCGCATATCAACCACAGCCTGGTTGGTACGGCACTTACTACAGAAATCTGCCCAATTTTTCCATGAAGACTTCCACTTTTGTTCCGGCAATATTTCTCATACTTGCTGGGAGGATATTGACCAACCGTGGACCTCTGAGGTTCATGCAGTGTTCCCTGATTGTGTCTACTCTTCACTGGCTCTATTCTGCATTTCCTTCCATATCGTTCACTCCTGTATGTTATTTTATTATGCAAATGTGGGACCTGGCCCTCCAGTATTTTCCATGTACTTTCTAGAAAGAAGAGAAAGAGGGTATCAAATAGGGAGTACATTTCCAGACGATCCCAATAGTCGAGTTGCCTTATCGTGTTGGATAATTTCTTTCAAATAAAGCTTAAATGTAGTTAATCTAACTTTCGTGTACAATAAAAACAAGAATTTGCCAAAAAATTAATAAAGGTGGACTCGAGTCCTTAAGTCATCTAGCTGTCAAAGACAAAATTAGAGATGTGTGTGTGTATTTTATTATATATATATATATATATATATATATATATATATATATATATATATATATATATATATATATATATATATATATATATATATATATATATATATATATATGTCGTACCTAGTAGCCAGAACTCACTTCTCAGCCTACTATGCGAGGCCCGATTTGCCTAATAAGCCAAGTTTTCCTGAATTAATATATTTTCTCTAATTTTTTTCTTATGAAATGATAAAGCTACCCATTTCATTATGTATGAGGTCAATTTTTTTTTATTGGAGTTAAAATTAACGTAGATATATGACCGAACCTAACCAACCCTACCTAACCTAACCTATCTCTATAGGTTAGGTTAGGTTAGGTAGCCGAAAACGTTAGGTTAGGTTAGGTAGGTTTGGTTGTCGAAAAAACATTAATTCATGAAAACTAGGCTTATTAGGCAAATCAGGCCTTGCATAGTAGGCTGAGAAGTGAGTTCTGGCTACTAGGTACATATATATATATATATATATATATATATATATATATATATATATATATATATATATATATATATATATATATATATATATAAGTTGTAACTATATCTTAGAGCACCTCTAAGTTAAACGTTTG